CTGTGAGCAATTTTGGGATGAATTTCACACACACGCGTTTCATTCTTAAATTTTCGGTTAAAATTTCTGAAATGATAATTTTTCGTATCCCAAGGTCTTTTTCCAGTTCTCGCACAGTCATACGACGATCTTGTTCGATTGTAAGTCGCACCCGCTCAATATTATCTGCGGTTTTTGTCATCGAAGGTCGGCGGGAACGAGAATCACTATCGACAGAAGTGCGACCATCCTTGAACCGTTTATACCATCCTTTTATTCGTGTTTTGCTCATACACTCGCTTCCGAAGGCCTTTTGCATCATTTTAATAGTTTCCGAACTCGTTTTTCCGAGTTGCATAAACCTGTTGATTTTAGTTTTGGAGATTCTTGCAATATACATTGCGAAGTAGAAGCATGTAAAAATTTTGCTATAATACGGCGTGGTTGGTGTAAAAGATCATTCTGTTTCAAACACTTTTTCGATGATTATCATTTCTGTAAGGAATTCGTTGAATGATACATTTTAATTTACCAATAAATAAAAAAAAGAAAAAGATGAAAATTATTATGAAAAATCAAAATATACGTAGTATCACGTACGATGGCTCTTACGTAAATATATTTATGTATCTACATACGAATGTAAATATATGTGTATAGATCTATAAATGATAATTAGATTTCGTGTTATTCTCGTGTTTATTTTTAAGTGATATTTCTCGCCATTTTTGTACTATTAAAATAAAATGTATTAAACATATTTTTATTTGTCATAAATTATGTTTGAGCTACAGATATATTTTATGAAAAAAAAAATGGAATACCCCACATACGGTGTAGAAATCAATTATTTTAAGAAAAAGCAACTGATAAACTCAATTCTCCCAAAGTTAGGTCTATTAGCCTACATTTGGTTGGGTAAGGGTGGTTTATGGGGGTGTGGTGGGTTAGAGGCAGGTTGGTTAGTTGAGGTAGCTCGCTCAGGCGTAGGATTATATTATTTAAGGAAATAACAAACAACTTAACTCGTATTTTCCAGGGTTAGGAGGTTTAGTCTGCTTGTTTTTCAGTAAGGGTGGTTTATAAGGGTGGGGGTTAGATAGGTTAGGGGTAGGTGGATAAGAGTTATGTTATACAACTAGGATAACTCGCTTATGGTGTAAAATTCAATTATTTCAAGAACTAACAAACGACTAAAGTTGCTTTTTACAGGATTAAGTGGGTTAGCCTGCATGTGTTTCGGTAAGGGTGGTTTATGGGGATTTGGTGGGTTAGAGGCAGGTTGGTTAGTTGAGGTAGCTCGCTCATGCATAAGATTAAATAATTTCAAGAAATAACAAACGACTAAACTTGTTTATTCCAGGGTTAGGTGGATTAACCTATAGATAGTTTGACGGGGGTGGTTTCTACGGGGTGAAACATCCCTTAAATATATTTTTTTTTAAATCCGGAAACACGTCAATATAATTTTGGTATTTTCTCATTATCAGTGCGATTTTTAAATCACTCGAGCTGATTTACTACATTACATGTCGTAAAACAGTACAAAATATAGTGTTTTTACCCCTATTAAAAAAGGGGGTTGCAACCCTTCCATATAAATGTTATGTCCTTAAAAGCGCCTTTTTACATGAAATTTTTTAACGTTGAGTTTTCTGAAAAATATTCATTGGATGCTGAGAAATATTAAAAAAACTGATTTTAGGGGTTGATTTTTAGGGTGGATTTTACCCCTTAAAAGCCCTTATGGGCCGATAAAACAAACACGTATCTAATTTTTTTTCAAGTACTACAATATATCCCAAAATCTTTCAAATCGGTGAGGTCGGGTTGGGGTGGTTTCCTTGTTAGTATAAATAGGCCTAGGTATAAATAACGTGCAATCGCATGTAAGAAGGAAAATTACCGATTTTTCAGATAAAAGCTACAATATTGCAAGGGGAAAACTCGATAGCTACGGTGCGTCACAGATATGCCCGCGATGTTGGGTCCTATCTCAGTTAAGGAAGCCGGCGCTAACTCCCACAAATAAATCCACCACGAATGGCTGAAAAAAATCGAGTCTAGGCAGTTAAGAAATACCACACGTTAATTCAATATATATATAAATATATATATATATACGACGATCTCCATATTACGCCCTAATAACATCGATTACAAAAACTATTAAATATCTATAACGTGAGTGAGCGGCCTCGCTCACACTCAAAAACGCGATAAAAAAATAAATAAAAAATTCAAATTAACAAGAAAAAATTACAAAAGAGTGAGCGAATGCGCTCACTTGCGCAAACGCAACAATTGAGTGTAACTTAGGCGAAGAGAACCCGAGCGAATTCGCTCAGTGTCCTCGACGCAAACGGATGAAATTACGGCCACGAAATTGCGAGCGAGAGCTGGTGTAGGGAGAAAAAAAAATTCAAATGCTCTGGAGAGTGATCCACCAGATTCCATCGTACTTCGCTCGACGATGACACTTGCGCCGCTGTCTAGCCTTGACGATTCGGATGAGGGGTATCCTGCCAGGACTTGGTACCATTCGCCTCGGTAGATATAAAAGTGTACCAAACTCGTATCCTGGTGTTTCTCGGTACTGCCCCTCCAAGAAATATCCTGGTTAGCTCGGATACACAAAAGTTCGCCAGTCTCTCTCTACCCTCTCTTCGGACTCTCTCGCTGGCTTCTCTCTAGACTTTTTCTCTGACTTTTCTCTGACTTTTCTCCGGATTCTCACGAATTCCCTCGTCGCTAATAAGTCGCTCTCTCTCTCTTTGCTCTTCACGCTCTCGCCTTCATCTCGAGCCCCTTTTCTCCAACCGCACCCACATCTGCTAAGTTCTGTAACAAACCAAACGTGAATGCCATGTTGCCACAGCCACCTTTGGTTGCTAAGTCCGTGCGAGGACAGTGCCACACACAGGGCCAGCGATTATTACTGGTCGCCATGTCACAATATTAATTGATAATATAATAATACGTCAGGTTTGCATGTGTGATTTTGTTATTTATCTTTTTATTGGACGAATGATATCTTTATTGGTATTAGTTGTATGAGAAAATAACATATGCTTGACCTTTTCTCACAGATTAAATAAATAATAATGCATGTGGGAGTTTCTAAGCCTACCTTTAACCAGTAAAATACTTGAAAGGTCTCAAAGGCTAAAAAATTAAGTTTCATATACCCATATACGGCTTTTGGACTGATAAAAAAATCTTGCTTGCTACTAGCTAGGAACGGTGAATACGACATACCACCAGTAACACGATGCCTTGGATGTTCCGAATGCCAGCTAGCCTAGTTCAATCGGGTTATGGGATTCGCAGTCGAATGAATTTCTAATTTTTCTGTATTATATCATACATATTAGGGTCGTTTGAAAAGTCCGTGCAAAAATAAAAACTGCTTGATTTTTTTTTAATAAATCTTTTTTATTTTTTAACATAGTCTCCTTTTAGGATTATACACTTCATCCAACGCTGCTCTAGTTTGTTAATCCCTTCCAAGTAATAGGATTTGTCCAAGTCTGTAAAATAGGCATTCATTTCTGCAATCCCCTCCTCATTTGAATAAAATCTCTTCCCCGCCAGCCATTTTTTCATATTAGGGAACAAATAGTTGGTCCGACGGAGCCAAGTCTAGAGAATAGGCGGGATGTAAAACGAGTTGGAACCCTATCTCCATCAGTTTTGCGGCCATAACTGCTGAGGCGTGAGCTGGCGTATTGTCGAGGTGGAAGAGGACTTTTTTGTGGGCCAATCGTGGACGTTCCTCTAGCAACTCGGTTTTCAAACGATCCAATAACGATGAATAATATTCGCCTATAATGGTTTTACCCTTTTCTAGATAGTGGATGAAGATTATTCCTTGCGACTCCCAAAAGACAGTCACCATAACCTTCCCGGCCGAAGGAATTGTCTTCGCCTTTTTCGGAGCAGATTCCCCCTTGGTAACCCATTGTTTAGACTGTTCTTTGGTCTAAGGAGTGTAGTGATGTATCCATATTTCATCTACAGTAATGAAGCGACGCTCAAAGTCTTGCGGATTTTGCTGGAACAGCTGCAAACCATTCTTGCAACACTTCACACGATCTCGTTTTTGTTCAATCGTGAGCAATGGCGGCACCCATCTAGCGGATAGCTTTTTCATGTCCAAATGTTGGTGCAAAATATTATGTACCCGTTCGCTCGAGAAGCCTACAGTACTAGCAATCTCACGCACCTTCACTCTTCAGTCAGCCATCACCATATCATGGATTTTATCAATGATTTCTGAAGTGGTAACCTCAACAGGGCGTCCAGAACGTTTAGCGTCTTTTGTGCTCATATGGCCACTCCGAATATTTTGAAACCACTTATAAACCATTGTAATCGAAGGTGCACAATAACCATAATGTTTATCAAGCTTCTGTTTAACCTCCTGAGGCGGTTTGCCTTTGAAAAAGTAATGTTTAATCAATACACGAAATTCTTTTTCGTCCATTTTTTTACAACCACTCGATTTCTTTGATTGAAACGAATGTAAAACGCAAAGTAATTGGCCGATCTGGCTGAAACTTGGTGTGTACACTTCCAAGATATGCCACTAACTAAAAATAACCTTGATACGCACTAATAGCGCCATCTCTCTGACTTTGCACGGACTTTTCAAACGACCCTCTTATAGTACCACCACAATCCTTACCTGAATTTCACATTAATTTTAAAGTAAGTATATTTGAATGAATGCATTAAAGAATAACATATAAATCTAACTAAACGTACAATTTTAAATATTATAGTGATATTTTATTATTTTATAATGTGTTTTTACTATCAACTAGCCATTTCCAGCATATACTGTGGGTTAACAAAGCAGGGTTCTATATAATAACAGTGTCAATAATTCAAATGGTTAACTATTCTTTCGTTTACCTTGTTGTGCGATATTGATAATGTATTTGTTAGTTGTTGGGTAAAGTAAATAATATTACAGAATATATAAAATAAGTAACTTGCATTATAAATGTTACCCTTACCCTTGCTGTAACGGAGCTGTAACTGCTTTTTCGACTAAAATTCCATATTTCGTTGGCCAAACTGCACATACCTGTAATGTTTACACGTAAATTAACAAAAACAAAAATCATGAATTTGAAATACATATATATTTTCTGTATTCCATCCTAATAAGGCAAAGCTGAAAGAACTGAGTGAATAATACGGGAAACAAAATAAAGATCTAATGTGTTACCTGATTACATTCTCTAATATACCACACCCCTCTCCTACTATTAAAGCCGTAGAAGCTTAAAAAAATTGTTCATTGTTAACAGCGGTATGTACGTTGATCATGTCTCTTTTGGTTACGGGTTGATGTGCATGAATTGTATTTTCTACGTGACCCCATGGGAAAAAAACAATAGGTGTAGGCTTACATGATCTACAAAATTTCTTGATATTTATACAAATTCCTCTTAGTAGAAAATGAGAATATAAAAATCGTAACTAGTATTACTTTATTTAAATATTCAAAATTTTCGCGGTTTTCCGCGATTTTGTTAGGTCCTAAATGTCCGATATAATTATTAGCTCGTTTTTAGCTCATTTCTTTCATATTTTAATCAATAACAATTTATGTCTTTATAACATTTTCGATATTTTCTTAATTTCGCAGTTAAATGAAACATCAGTAGTTTTCACAAATTTAATTTTTTTTAAGATAGTTAGTGAACAGGTAAATACTTATGGGTTATACTGGACTCTTTTTTTCAGTTGAAGCCATAGTATGCCACAGGTGAAACATCGTGGCGAAAAGTCGACAAATTAAACCTGCAAATACCGAGTCATAATATCCAGCTTTTACTGTCCACGAAAGTGCATTAGTATTACTTTACCATTTGGGGGATCTGTCCTTTTTGTACGTGTTGTTAATCCGTCTTCTTGTCCAACCACTGGTTTCTCTCTCTCTGGTAGGCATCGCAGCATCTTTTCAACGACTCTTCCATCTTTACAGTTTATTAATTATTCTGTATCATGCTTTCGAGCAAATTATTCCAGATAGTGCATCTTCCACGGTGCCATCAAGCGTACGCTGTTTTCTGCATAATTCTTTGCATCTTGCCCTGGAATTTGCATTACTTTTGCAACCTGTACAACATAACCTTGATCCACTTGACGCACAATCAACACTTCTCATCGGTTCAATCTCTCAACTGGATCAATTGCCGTACCATAGCCGCACCTGGACCTTTATCACGAATTTGGCCGTTTTTGCCTTACCAACGACGAACATCATCGCTTATGCATCTTTTTTTGTTTGTTGAGTGAGGAAGACTTTTCTGTGTTCTCATTTTGTCGCCACTCTGTATCGCTCATTCAATCATTTAGTATATCGCATACTTTTTGCGAATCTGTAATATTTATTATTAATTAAAAACAAAATTTACTGCGTGCCATTTAGTCTCATTCTCATTTTCATTTTTCATTATCATTTTTCATTATTATTCATCATTAATTTTAAGTCGTTAGCGGCTCCAAAAGTTAGGTTACGTCACTTTGCGAATTTTCCGCGCCAAATTTCCTCTTAAATTCAATTTCGCATTCCTTATTATTGCGAGGACCACCTTCGTGCGACTTTTGATTTCCGCGCTACACCCACTATGATAATTCGCTTTTCCTCGGTAGAAGTCATTAAGAGTTTATCATAATTGGTAGGTTGCGAGTGCCACCACGTCACTTGAATTTGCGCGCAAATTTTCAAATATCAATTGCAGTTTCAAACTACGAGGTCTGTCCGGAAAGTATCGGGCCTACGTTTATATCTTCGCGCCATAGTGTTCGAGCGACTTCTACCGGACAGAAACATTAACAGTAAAGCCTCACGAATGTATTGGTTACTTACTGACACCTGCCGGACGTATAGTTCATGCGCAGCGTGTCTTTGTTTACAGTGCCTTTTTCGCGTTCGTCGGATTTTGATATTGTCAAAAGTGACTGAAAAACAAGATCAACGAATTTGCATCAAATTTTGCTTTCAACTCGGAAAAACGAGTTCGGAAACTATTGAATTGATACAAAAGGCCTTCGGAAGCGAGTGTATGAGCAAAACACGAATAAAAGAGTGGTATAAACGGTTCGAGGATGGTCGCACTTCTGTCGATAGTGATTCTCGTTCCGGCCGACCTTCGACGACAAAAACCGCAGATAATATTGAGCGGGTGTGACCTACAATCGAACAAGATCGTCGTATGACTGTGCGAGAACTAAAAGAAGTCCTTGGGATACAAAAAATTATCATTTCAGAAATTTTAACCGAAAATTTCGGAATGAAACGCGTGTGTGCGAAATTCATCCCAAAATTGCTCACAGCAGAGCAGAAGAACATTCGCTTAGAAATCGCTCTGGACAATCTGGAAATGGTCAATAATGATGATAATGTGCTTCGAAAAGTTATTACAGGTGATAAATCATGGGTTTATGGTTATGATCTTGAAACAAAACAACAATCATCACAGTAGAAGAATTCTGAATCGCCAAGACCAAAAAAAACACATCAAAGTCGGAGCAATGTTAAGTCAATGTTGATTGTTTTTTTCGAATTTTAGTTTGTGAAGGTGTTGTACATCACGAATATGCACCAACAGGTCAGACAATCAATAAATAATACTACGTTCAAATTTTGAAACATTTGCGTGATGCAGTAAGAAGAAAATGGTCGCACTTTTGGGAAAGTGGCGACTGGCTTCTCCATCACGATAATGCGCCAGCGCATTCATCCAATCTTGTGGAGCAGTTTTTGAGCAAACACAATATCGCATTGTTTCGACAACCTCCATGCAGTCCCGACATAGCCCCTTGTGACTTTTGGCTGTTTCCAAAACTAAAAAAATCACTCAAAGGACACCGATTCGATGACAAAGCAACGGTTGAAAACAATGCGACGAGTGTACTTAAGGCTATCCTTAAAAGTGAGTTCCAGGACTGTTTAGAAAAGTGGAAACATCGATGGAACCGTGTTATTCAATCAAGTGGGGATTAGTTTGAAGGATGCCACCCACCAGATGATAAAGAATAACGCTAGCACGAAAATATAAAGGTAGGCCCAATACTTTCCGGACAGATCTCGTATAATTTGTTTACAGCTATATTGGCTGCTTTGAATGGATATTTCCTAAGATATTTTGCATTTAATTAAATAAAACTTATAACAATCACTAAATTGGTTAATTTAATAAAGACAGAAGATTGCTCGGACTTATACAGTTAATAATTTATTACGTATTTCACTAAAAGAGAACGAGTAAAAGCAAATTGGTATATAAGAAATAAAACCTTTTAATATCATTTCCATAAATAATTCTCAGAAACATATTTAACATAGAACAGAAAAGATATATAAAGAAGAATGGTAACCATAGCAATTCAATAAGCACATGATATTCATTTTTTCCATGATTGTGTTTACACAATGAAAAACTAAATTCAAATGACTGTAGAAAATTTTCAAATAAAAGTACTGACTTGAAATTTTGTATACGAACTTATCCTGTATGGGGGTATATTATGTGTATATTTTAAGTAACACAGGAGTGAGCGGTCGCATGTAAGGGAGCTCAGTGGCATTTATTTCTGTAATTGAGATATTTCAGTGTTTTATGTAACAATCTTCATGTTTTGTTGTAAAGATGCGTGCGTAGATTGAATAAGTTGGCCGTATTTGCCATTGCGCGTGGCGTCGATGTAATCTGAAGTGAAAAAGTGTTGAGTGTGCGTAGAGGTTAGGGCAGGTGGTTCGGCAGGCAGGAGCAGGGAACTGCGCGAATAGGCAAAGATGTATGGAAAAGTCAAGAAAAAGGAAGATAGAAAAGTGGTGAGCACGAAGAGAAGCAGCGATAGAGGTGAAGAAAGTGAGATAAGTGCATGTGAAAAACCCAGTGGCGCTGGTACGAAATTCAGAGGAAAGGATAACTAAAAGGCTTAAGAGAGTCAAAGTGTGAAAAAACCGGCACGACCTGAAATAAATAGGTGTCGATTTGAGGACAGTTTCGCGAAGGTAATGAAATTTGATAATAAAGAAAAAGTATTAGAATGCCGAGGATGCGAAGTTATAAGGTATAGGATAGGAGAATTGGAAGAAGTTTTGAATAAGGAGAGGAAAGCGCTTATTGTAGAAAGGGCAAGTATAAAAGAGAGGATGGAGATGGAACTCAAAAAGATTAGGCAAGAAAAAGTTACGGAAAAAAAATTAAGTATAGATTAAAGCATTGGAAATAGATCTGAATAAAAAAATTGAGAGATTGGAAAAGGAATGGCTGGAATTTATGCTAAAAATGTGCACTAGGTTAGAAGAGATTGAAAAGCTACTCGGTAAGCAGTTTCCTCGCGCGAAACAAATAATTTAAGAAATGAAGGCAGCAAAGCTAGTAGTATAGAAACAATAGGAGTACAAAGCGTGTCGGTAAATAGAGATACGAAATCGGTAGCCGGTACAAGTTGTCTCTCGGAATTCAAGATAAACGCAATGAGAAGGTCGGTTACATGGCAAGAATAGATTGATAGGCAAGAAAACTTGGTCTTTAGAGACTTGTATATAACTAGAGAATGACGTATAGGTTTAATTATGTTTTGTAAAGAAATGTTGGGCATTGAGATGAAGATAGTACAGGTAAAGAAAAGCGGTAGTGAATGTATAGCTAGATGCGGAAATAAGGAAGATAGAAACTTGATTTGGAAAAACAAATACAAGCTAAAGGATTCGAAGATTTTCATTGAAAATGACCTTAGCAACGAGGATAGGAAAAGGAGAAAAAGGGTAGCAAAATGGGTAAAAAGCAAGAAAATGACTAGTGCGCAAATACAGTGCGGTCTTGGAGGTTTTTGGATTAACAATAGATGGTATAAATGGCTTGGTGAGGAGACAGCGAAGAAAATATGTGATAAGATCCTTGGCAGCGTTGCATTTCCAAGGGATGGCAGTAATCGAACGAATGGCTAGAGGGCAAGGCATGTAAACGAAAAGGAGGGCGAAGAAGCCGAGCAGAGGAGAAAGGTGAATATGCAACAAGGAATCAGGAACACAGAAAAGTCTAGAAAAAGGAGAGCAGTTGG